TTTAAAAGAAAAAAATTAAATATCATTTCTCTCTCTTAAATTTTTGAAATCTATATTTTAATATAGATATTGGAGATATTTTCGGTGTACAAATATTTAAAAGCCAAAAAATAGATACATTAACTAAGGGTAAAATTGTCAATAATTATTTATGTCTAAAACTGTTTATAATTTATATTACCAACCATTTATTTTAAAATAAAAATAGTAACTATTTTAATCCGTTATTCAACCAGTTATATATTTGGATTATGAATTGTGGGTCTACGTCTAACCTACTTTAACATTATCAATATTTTGTAATGATAACCGATGATTAAAGATTTTTATTTAAAAAAATTATTTTATTTATTTAAAAAAATAATAATTAAAAATGGGACAAGTTTTGGGGTGTTGGGTAAAGCAGGACAAAAATTGGATTAAAATTAATTTTTAATATTAAAATGGAATTAAAAAAAAATAAAAGTAGACATGACCACGCTACCCCCCTTCAAACTACAACCTGGATTTATACATATTTTTATTCTATACCACATGCCTCTTTCTCCTCCTATTCCAACTCACACCCATTTTTATTTATTTCATTTTATTATATTTATAATTATTTTATTAATATTTTTTAGACTTGAGATGTTTAGGTTGGTCATAAATTTCAAGAGGATTACTGGATCTTGTATCAATATTGCTCAAAGCGTATTTATAATACATAAATTTAAGTGAAAATGTTGGTCTGTAAAACGTCATGGCAGTATGGAGTTATGCTTCGAATGTTTTGATGAGAACGTACCTTTGGATACGCCAACCCAGCAAGTAAGGGAGTGAGTCTGTCCAAAGGCTCAGTCTAAGGGGAGAAGATGCGGGACTGAAAGGTATTGACTTTATTTTCGTTCTTCTGTAGTGCAGTTATGTCTTATGTCAGGTAATGATTGTGAAACTGTTAGACCAAGTCTTTGGTTATTGTATTGATGGATAACAGATTCATGCAATAGTGGGAATTTGAGAAGTGGATGAAAAAAAAATGTCAAATTCAAACTGCCATGACGTACAAACGAAGCAGAATTATGGAATGCCCGACCAGTTAATTGAAACCCCCCAAGGATGGATCGTGTAGGTAAAAAGGACCCATAATCCATTCTTTAAACCCCTGATTTTAAATTAACCCCAAATGTTGGGATCCTAACTTCCTTTTTTTAAATGTAAATCCCATAAAATCCTACAACTTTCTTTATTAGTCTTCAGTATTTTACACGTAATAATAATTTTAACGAACCCACACAAAATAATGACGTCATGTACCCAACACTGCTTTATCCTTCTGTTATACAGTATATTATCAAAAAATATATAAGAAATCTGGACATAATTTATGGGATTTTTATAAAAAAAATGGTACATCCAATAGCTTTGTAGAGAACATATCAAAACACTCTTCTCCATGCCTTTGGTGCCATCAATGTCTAAATGACAATCTCCTCAACTCCCACTCCCCATTGTCAAAGGGATGTATTTATACTTATTTAATTAATTTAGAGTCAAATAAATAAATAAATATTGGTATTTATATATGTTTTTAATCATATGTTCACTTAAAATATGTATTTATTAGTTATGTGATTTTTGTTAATTTTATTTTGGATTAATAAGTAATATTATATGTTACTTTGAAATACGATAAAGAGGGAGAACAAAGACAATATTAATGAAGAAAATACTGATCGGTCTCAAATGTTGTTGATGATTTGGATTCTGTAGTTTTAAACTCACATATACGGTCTGGTTGTGGTATATAATTTTTTCAGTTAAATCAATGACCTCTTCATTAGTGCGAAACCATTTTTTTAATGGATCAGGGGATTCTGGATTTAATTGAAATCTTATTTAAAGGTATATACCTAAACATACCATCTAATTGTTCACTAAATCTATGTTGGAGTTGGTTCAAATTAGCAGTCTATACATCGTGACAATGTAAGAACGGAAGATTCACATGTGAATTATTAAAAAAAAAAAACTCAAAATAAATATATTTGAAATGTGAACCAACGTTACATATTAGTCTTGTAGGTTCACATATGCATCTTCAAATGGATTTTTTTTTTCCAATCATTCACATATGAATCTTCCTTTAACCTTATTTTTTACCTTCTCACAACTATTAAAAATATATACATTAATTAAAAGTATACTTGAAAATTTAGTTATATATTTTTAAAACCCTTTATTTTAAAGTAAATATAAATAAAAACGTAAACATTTATTTTAATACGGAAAAATGTATAAAAAAATGTATTAGGAAATATAAATAGAAATAAAAATAGAAAGTGGGAGATCCCAATAAATGAAACATTGAGTTATGTGCAAAATTTTGGAGTCATAAGCTTGTGTCATGAATCAACATGTACTTCCCAATGAACTACTTGATTTCAATAACACTCTCTCTTTCTCTTTCCTTTTGACCAACCAATCATTTATTCTTTGATTATAAAAATAAATTACATTTTTAAGAAATTAAAAAAAAAAGAAAAAGAAAAACGCTTAAAAAAGTCATCCAACTTTAAGGGGTCGTTTATTAAACGTTTATCCAGTAAGTACTTGTCGGGTAATTTTTCTCTTCGGATAAACATAGCAAGGCCCAAGAATCTTACTGGGTAAGAGCAATGATAATGATGGAGAGTCTTACCCGGTAATTGAGAGTAACAACTCTTACCCGAGTAAGCTCTTACCAGGTAAATTGTTGTATATGATATGTTTTGATGTATTACAATCTTACCTAATAAAATAAATTATAGTGTTGACTCCTAATGTTAAATACTTACCGGGTAAGCATTTAGGTAAACGGCACCTAAGAGCAGATATAAAAAAAAAATCATCAAATATATCAATTAAAGTTATTTATATTGAGTCTGATTAAAATGACATATAATCTATGTATGTATGTTTAGTAGTCAAACATTTAAAAGTTGTATAACTTGGTGGTGAGAATATAAAATTACCATATTCAGTATTTCAAATCTTGATTGTTTATGAATACTTCTTAAGTTTATACATCGTAAATGTCTATTTAAGCAGATTTCACGAGCTTTTGGATCAAGCTGATTATCGGCGGAAACTTTCTCATGATACTGAAATATGTTATATTAGTCATCGATCAATTAATGAATTACATTTCATCTTAACGTAGTTTCGGGTTTTAAACAATATTTGAAGAGATTTTCGTTATGCTAAGTTGATGATTAAAACGAGACAAATAGATAAATAAAGAGGGTATGGGCGTAAGCATTATTCAAGACATACATAGTAACCGTATGTTCATAAATAGCCACCACAAAGAAGCAATACCGCCTGATGTAAAACATAGGGTCGGTCCTAATGTTTTGATGTCTTGGATGTTATCGTCCAAGACATCAAAACATTAGGACCGGCCCTATATGTTTTACATCAGGCGGTATTGGGGTAAATTTTAAACCGTCACATAGAAGCAACGACTTAATTGATAGGTATCCATGCCTTCATTTATATGGATGGATATGATTTCAATACTGGCTATATAAAAAGATATGATAGATACCGTTTCGATATGAAACGATACTGTTGAAACAGTTGTTCTGTCATGTCATGTCATGTCCTAATTATACAAGTAATAGGTGCTTAAACATATTTTTCTGATGGCGATACCTTTAACAGTATGCCATGTGTTTGAAAATTAAAGTTGGTCATGAACCTTATGTGTAATGGTATTTTTGTATATCAATAAATTTAAGAAATAGTTACCAAATAATATATCGGGAATGTTGCTAAAAAATACTAAATATTCTCACATAAATAGTTATTATACATTCGAGCACAATGTTAAACATTATACCAAAAATGTTACCATAACTTAATATACATTCTCCATAATATTTATTAAACATTAAATGAAAATGTTTAAAAACTAAATACAAAGAATTAAACACTGTTTCAAAATTATTATAAACCGGATAAGAGATGGACAAGACATGGGTTTTTTTTTAACTTGGGCATGAACCTTCAAACTATTGGCCATTATGGTACAAATGGCCCAAAGTCGGTTTCAAGCTGGGTCCAAATTGGTCCTAGTCCGAGATTGTGTCCTCTTGTAACTGGTTCCATCGTAAACGTAACTGATTCCGGTCCCGACCAAAAACATCTGGCCCGTTCGCCATGTACAAGCCCAGTCCCCGGTTGGGCCCAAATCACGCTCAAATCTTTAAAAAAAATATTATTTGAAGAGTTTGTGAACAATATCATATTGAAATACACTTTAAAATCTCTAATTGGGTTATTTAAATACATTTTAAATAATTTTTACACAAAAAATGTTGTACATGTTTTTATAACTACAATTTTTGAAATTCAGTATTAAAACACTTAAAAAAACTTCAAAAAGAACTTGTTATATAATTTGTAAAAACTTATTTTTTTAAAAACTGGGCCAAGTGGTGGACACAGTACCAAAAAGGAGGGGAGAAGGAACCCCTGTCAAAAACTCAAAAAAAAATTCCTAGGTTAAAATTTAGGTTTTACACGATTTACCTTTCACTTCCCCCCGTTATATTTTTTCACGGGTCCCCCAATCCCAATCGAAACTGTTACTTTAACGAAAAAATCTATTGGAATCAATAAAAAAAACCAAAAAGTTATTCGAAATCGACAAAAACACAAAAAAATCATTCGAAATCAATCAAAAAACTTTCAAAATCCCTCGAAACGTTGTAATTATGTTAAAAACACATCGGACGATTTTGCGGACCTTTAGTCTACCTTAAAGGTGACCCCAGTAGACAAAAATCCTGGATCCGCCACTGATTGGGCCTATGTATATAACCCGTCTATGTTAAGATAAGATTGTACGTTTAATCTATACAGACAGATTAGTCTATACAGGCATTAATGAAAAACTAGTTATAAAAGTACAATTATGTCCTCAAATTTGAGCAAAATTCTTGATCAAAAGTGCAAAAAATTGGAAGAATTTTTTGTTACCACCATTGATGAACCAGAACACCTTTCTCCCTCAATGAACTAAACAACTCTATACATTCACTATACACCTTATGATACTTTGAACTCCTTTCTCCATTACAGCATCTTTGCCATCGATTGTAATGGCATTCGAGAAACATTTCATCGATCAAACAAATGGCTCCGGTTTCGATCAACATTCGAATCAAATCGAACTCAGTTCCTTCGACATCCATCTTCACCACCACGAAATCTTTTCCTCTGAAACTGTTCTTCACCCAATTCGCGAAATCAAACCCTTGAATCTTGTTCAAATCCCCCATGAAAGTGGTGGAAGTTTGTGCAGATTGAACTCGACCCATCCCGCGTCCTTTCTCCTCGTTTTTGTTGTTGGGTTCTCGATTGATTTCGAAGAACAAGGATTCATTTCGAACCCAGGCCGCGTATGGCAAGAGGGTTATCTTTTTCTTTGATTTGTATTCTTCATGGAATTGTTTATCGGCTTCGATTGCGAAAATCTTGAAGGGTTTGTTTTGTTTTGGGTATTGTTTCTTGAACCAGCTTCCGATGCTTGATCCGTAGTTTCGAGCTCCGATATCGATGTAAATGTATCGGGTTTTGAATCTGATATCCGCCATTGATGAAAGGTATTTGATGTTCTTGAAGTTGCTCTTGAATGAAACCCATGGCTGCAATGGTTCTTCAGTTATCAACGGCTCAGAATTTTGAATTAACTCCTTTTTATACGCGGGAACTGAGCAAATTCCGGCGAGATTTCTCCGGCGACGGAGAATCCCATTTTGTTTCTTGAGAACAATTTCACGAACCGGCGGAATCGACCAATGTTGAACGGAGATTTCGAGTGATCGGATCAATTTAAACGAATCAAACAAATCCAACAAAGAATTTAAACTATAGGAGTCGTTGGATTCCGTATGGATGATGAGATAACCACCTGGTTTCAGAGTTCTTGATAATTCCGACGAGAGTTCGCCGGGATCGGCGGAGGAATCGAGACCGGTGTGAGCAGAGAACTGTGAATCAAACGTGTTGTTTTTAAACGGCAACCGGACGTTTTTTCTGACGGCTTTGGAGTACGAAACGCCGGTTTCTTTCAAAGCGTCGACGTATTGAGAAGAATGGATACCAACGGCGAGGGTTTTTGAATCGACGGCGAGAAATCCGTCGAATATCAAATCTTGGAAAACGGAGGAGTAATATTTGACGAGCTGTTCGTCATTGTCGGCTTCCCAGGAGTTATAGGGACCGCCGCCGGTGGTGGTGGTGGAGGTGGTGGTGGTGATGATGAGATATACGGTTCTTGCAAGGACGAAAAGAACACCGGAGTAGAGCGCTCGTACCAGAATCCGTTGCCGGTAGCGGGCGGCGGTGGTCATGGCAACTTTGGAAAAATTACACGTCAGTTTTGGAAATGAAAAAAAAACAAGTATGTGGGCCCACACTTCTCGTTTTGGATATTTGTAAGTTGAAACTCCCGCGATGTGGTTTTAAATGACGAATTTGCCCCTAACGGTCCAATGGCTTTTCTTTACCGGTCCGTGTCTTTGAATTGGGCACTTAACCGGGTTTTTTTTTTTATAGATCTATCATTTGGAAATTGGAAGATATCCTTGCGTTTGTGGGCTTAAATTTTTAGCGCAACTCCAATGGGATTTTTTAAMWATTATTTATGGGCTTAAATTTTTAGCGTAGTCCAATGGGCTTTGTTAAATATTATTTATGGGCTTAAATTTTTAGCGTAGTCCAATGGGCTTTGTTAAATATTATTTATGGGCTTAAATTTTTAGCGTAGTCCAATGGGCTTTGTTAAATATTATTTATGGGCTTAAATTTTTAGCGTAGTCCAATGGGCTTTGTTAAATATTATTTATGGGCTTTTGTTAAAATATAATAATTTATAAAGGCACAACAATATATTAAACACAAAGTGACAGACAAATAAAAACAAGAGGTGAGTTGGTTACATATTCTGCACAATATAAGAAAGAAAGTACGACCTTCCAACCAACCTAAGGTAGTGTTTGGTACACAGACGGAACATGACAAGACTAATTGTTTGTTTTATGTTTGGTACGATTAGGACAAGATATGACAAAACTGTTAAAATAACCATATTACCTTTAAATGTTGTTCAATATTATTTTATACCATATAATGATTGTAAAATGATAACAAATCAACCAAAATATATTTTAATTACATTAAATATACATCCAAAAAAATGACAAAAAGGTGTTGACGAGCCAACCCGACAATCGCACTTAAATATTACCCATTTTGACCTGTTATCCAACCCACCTTTCACTTTCGTCCTTTGCAACCACGGTTTATTCTTTTAGATTGTAATTGCAATTAATCCCTTTTTTCCTCTCCCAAACTTATCTGATAAATTGAAACTTCATTTGCTCCTCCAAGAATTGGATGACGACAGAATCCCATTGAAAGATATAAAAGAGACCACCAATAACTCTAGTTATGAAAATGTCGTTGAGGAGAGCTTGTCACAAATTGGATGAATTAGGTTTTCTATTGGAATGAAATAATAAGGGTAATATTGTCATTTTAACTTTAATTCCATGGTGTTCCACCTTTTTTGTTGGAACAAGAAATATCAAGATTTGTCCCATGAAAATTAAAAATAGTCTCACTTTGTCCCATATTTTTTTGTCCACTGCATACCAAAACATGAGATTATTTGTTTTAGTATGTAATCTGCATATCAAACACACCCTAAATTAACAAAGGATCACTAAAAAAAAAAACCACAATGACAAGAAGGAACCAACCAATAAGACCTTGCCCATATACCACTCGATCCATGAAATGTTGAAGCTTTTGGCATGTTTTGGAACCTATTCAAGTAGTGGTGGACCCTCAATTTCGGTCGGACGGGTGCACTTTTAGATGGATCAAAGACCCACAAAGTTGTCTAATATGTGTATTTAGCCGACTTTCATCATTTCGAGTGATTTTTTTTTTTTTTGTTGATTTGAAAAGAGTTTTTTTTTATTTGTTGGTTGATATACATGCCTTGTATTTTTTAGTATCCCATAGCACCCTTCAAAGTTTAGCTAGTACATCTTTCATATCCCAAGGAAAAATCTACTCACGAAAATAAGTTGAGCGTGTGCACATGACCTCGCTTAGGGCTTTAATAGATCCGCCCTTGCATTCAAGAGCCGCCCCGACTTCGCTATAGCTTCTGAACTCGCATACTCAATCAACTCTAAATCGATGTACAGGTGATGAGAGACGCCACACCAACCAATTGAAAAGTCATCAAACAAGTTATGAAACAATGGTCAGTAGTTTCAACGTCATTGTCGCAACACAGATAAAGAAGAGAATGAGGTTCCACCCCTTTGTCATGAAGAACTGCATGCACCAGAATTCTCTCCCATCTAAATCGGCAAATGAAAATACACACCTTTTTTCGGAATTAGAGCTGAACATTGTGTTGGAACAAGACGCCATTTGTTTATATAATCATGTTCCTAAGAGCCATGACTGAATATAAGCCATCCTCGACAGTCCACCAACACCAACAATCTCTCTCACTCAATTTCAAGGATGAATTTCGAACCAAAAAGCCCAATTTCTCTAACTCTCCAAATGATCTCCCTCTAGGACCATAGCCCTTTCCTTTACCTCCAACCTAAAAACTTTACGAAATTAACCACAAGGGTGATACTTGATTGGTTTGAACTTAGCTCCAAAGGTTTAAAGTACCAGAAAGTCTCAGGTTCAAATCCAAGAAGGAAAAAAAATCCCCTTGTGTCCACGGAGGTTCAAATGTAGTGACTCCGGGCTATCTGCAAAGCAGGTAGTCGCCCCGGGATTAGTCGGCTCGCATAGCGGGTTGGATATCCAAGTTAATCAAAAAAAAAACTTTAGGAAATTTATCGCAAACTAAAAATTCCACAATCACTTATCTCTCTAAAAGGAAGAGTTATGTGCATTGTCCACCGTTTTACCACGGGAATGCGAAAAAGAAATACCCCGCCTTTCAAATTCCTTCCACACCCTCAATATCCCTCCCCACGCCATCGCCAAACCAGTTCCCCTGTCATCAGCATAAACACTTTCTATCACCTAAACCCAGAACCCATCGACACAAGTCGGGAAGCGCCACCACCATTTCCCATGGAGGCTCCAATTCGTAACCCATAAAGTGCCCACCGTTGTGTCTTGTTATTTTAAAGTTGGTTATATTTTTGTCCAACCAATTAAATAATAAAAACAAGTTAGTGTTTGAAGTGTGACAAATCAATTCAACCCGACGCGACCTGACTTCCATAAAAAAAATTACTTATTGACAATCTGATCTGGTCTATTGGTCACCCTTGTTCTTCTAAAAAGTAAATAAATGGTCTATTATGGTTAGATTTGAGCGGCTTAATTACACCATATTAAGCCTCACGGTTTGTTTAAATAGAGCTAGATAGTACGTCCAGATCAGATTGTAAATACATTTATTAAAAACACAATATGATAAGTTCATTTGTCATGGTAATTTTGAAATTTTCATTAAGATCTTATATTTTCAAAAATTCATGTATACACACCATAAAATCAATGATGCAAAAAAAAAAACAAAAACAAATACACCATAACAAAATAATTCAAAATAGAAAATATGTTTTGACCACCAAAAGATTTGCCAAGTATGCAAACTTGGTTGATACATGGTATTTTGGAAGTTGCGTACAACGGTAGGACTATAACCACAAAGGGTGGTGCCTAATTGGTTTGAGCTTGACTCCAAAGATCAAAAGTACCAGGAGGTCACAGATTCAAATCCAAGGAGGAATACAAAATCTCCCTTGTGGCCACGGAGGTTCAAATATGGTGACTCCAGGCTATCTGCAAAACATGTTGTCGCCCTGGGATTAGTCGGCTCACATAACGGGTTGGATATCCAGGTTAATTAAAAAAACGGTAGGACTATGGTACCGACTTGTTTAACTATTTATTAGTTTAGTATTTTTAGGCATTGAATATTAAAAAATTATAACTTTATTTATTTTGTTTGAATATTTGTAAGTTTTATTCTTTGCAACTGAAAATCCTTAAACATCACATATGTTACTTGAAAACTTAACATGTCACTCAAAATTTTAACAAAATGACAAATTTTCATATATATAACTTGAAGTTGGTATAAAACCAGTACTAACCGAAAAAAAATTGGTACCAGTTGAGTTGGTATCATGTATAGTTAGTTGGTACATAGTATAGAACTTTATGTACCAATTATAATTATTAGTACATGATTACAATGTGCATTTTATGTATATAAAAAAATCAGTTATATGATAACCCAGTATCAAATAAATAGGTTAATCATTATCTGACTTGTACAACAAGGTTATAAAAATACAAAAGTTTTGAGAGTCACATGAACATATAGGGCTTTTTTTTGTTCTGCTTAGAACTTTACCTACACAATCATAACATGATTATAAGTACTCTTACAATAAGTGTTTATTAAGTTACATTACTTTAGTGATGAATATGGGAAGAACCAATAATCTTACCCGGTAAGAACGAAAACAAGGACCTAGAGTCTTACTCGGTAAGTGAGAACGACTCCTCTTACCACGGTTAGCGCTTACCCTGTAAATTATTGAATACGATACCGTTTTGATGAACTAAAATCTTACACTGTAAGTAAGTGATGGTATTGAATTTTTTCGATATGTTTTTACTCAGGTAAGCGTTTAATAAACGACCCCTTAATTGTTTTTTATTATTATAAGATTGATTTTCAATAAGCAAAAAGTGAATTAATTCGTACTTAATTTATATCTTTTTGTTCAAATTACTTGATAACAACTTGATGGTTACGAATATATTTATTAAATTATTAAAAATAAAGTCTAAAAATAGAAATATTACCAATAAAAGACAAGCAGCCCACCAAATGAAAGTCATTTTAGGGCACGTGAGACATTGTATCGAAAAAAGTAGGATTGTGATTGAATATTTTCAGTTATTACAAAACCAGTGTTTTTTTTATAATAAACAATCACTTCCAAAATATGCATATTCAAACATGTTTTATAGGTTGTTTGTTTACCTCTTGATAGTTTTATTAAGAGACAGTTTTTGAATTGTTAAGAGGTGAATCTTATTTAGCAAAAAAAAAAATTGTCTCTTAATGATTCTAAAACCCTCCGGATGATTTTGTGTTCTATTAACTATTCAGCATCATAATTTCATTGTAAATAATTACCAAACAGTTACATTTTATTTTGTATTACATCATGAGAGTCTTTTAATCATTTTAACCACTTAATCATTCTACATCAAACCATTCAGCAACTGTTAAAGAGTCGTTAACTTGTTAATAATCGTATATTCGGATATAATTCTT